TGGGCTTTCTCTGGTTTCACCAAGCGGGGGCTACTCTCCAGTTGCGGTGCACAGGCTTCTCATTGCAGTGGCCTCTCTTGCTGTGGAGCACAGGCTCTAGGCATACGGGCTTCAGTAGCTGTGGCACACGGGCTTAGTTGTTCCTTGGTATGTGGAATATCTCCTGGACTAGGGATCGAACCCATGTCCCTTGCGTTGGCAGGCGGATTCTTAGCCGCTGGAACCTGGAAGTCCCCTACCTACCTTTTTCATCACCACACACCTGAATACTGCTCTCTGTGGGCACCAGTTGCTTCCTGATTAGTGATTTCATAAAGCTCCTTTTGACTTCTCGGTCCTCTTATCGCCTCTCTCTGTGGCATCTGACCCCAAGGACACACCCCTCCCCTCTCTCTTCCCTCCAGCTTCTGTGCCATCACCATACCTAAGCTCTATTCCCTCCTTAGCAAGCGTTCCTTTCCATCCTCCCTCGGTGATTTCTCTGCTCTGATATTCCCCCTCCTTTCTTCTTCCACTCCTTGCATCATCCTATTTGCTTCAGTTTCAACTATTCCCTTAATATCCCCTCAAACTCAAGGTGCCGCCAATGAGACTAAGCAGTTCCTTCAAGTGAGAGCCTCTGATAAACTTGTGTGGGCTTTCATTACTCAAACAGTTCACGGTAAGCATCCATCCAGCACTGGGGAGGCAAAGATGGCAGAGCAGGGCCCCACCTGCTCCAAGTCACCCCCCAGGTCATCCAGGCTCAGACACTAGCAGTTACCTGTGACATCAGCCACCCCCTCCCTTTCTCCCTTCCTCCCTCCCTCCTTTCCATCCTTCCATCTACCATCTCTCCAAACACAAATTCAAGCAACCATGCCAGTCTCCCACATCCTACTCTTCCATCCCATTTAAATATTCTAAGCCCCTTTCACCTCACCCCTGGACTCCCCTGAGTGTCCCAAGCATTCTAGCTCCTCCCAGGTCCTCTCTCCACAATCACTATTATCCTTCTAAGCACAAGTACAAGTCACATTGCCTCCCAGCAGAACTTTGGATGGTTCTCTGCTGCCTCTTAAATAAGACCAGATTCCTTCACTGGCTTTCAAGGTCTGGCCCTTTATCTTTCCAGGCCAATGGAAGAACTTGCATTGCCCAAACGGCCCTGACCTTTCCCTTCCTCTATGCCTGTGTTCTCCCTCTGCGGTCTTCTACCTCAAGACATGGCTGCAGAACTTCCACTTTTCATTCTAACCACCTTACTACTTTTAAGTTTTTTATTATCAACAAGAATTATTTTGTTACAATATTGTTTATTTTATCTTTTGGAGGTTTTTGGCCAGGAGGCATACGGGATCTTAAGCTTCCTAACCAGGGATCAAATCCATGACCTCTGCACTGGAAGATGAAGTCTTAACCACTGGATTACCAGGGAAGTCCCTCAACAAGAACTACTTTGAACTGAAGAATGGTGAATGACAGGGACCAATTTCAAACAATTTCCTTTACCTGCTTTCCTTGACCATGCCAGCCCAAAACAATTTTTCTATTCTTTTTATACTTCAAATTTTCCTCTGAACTAGCTTGACTCTTAACAAGAACCTTCCTAATGGTCTGTACTAACATTACTTCTTCCTAACTCACTTTTTAAGTCCTTCAGGGCAAAGTTGGTTCTAATTCATCCTAACTCTCACAGCCCCTTAGTCATTGGCCATGATAAGTCCTCAATAAACATCAGATGAAGTCGAGGAGTTACAACCTTATCTCAAGGATGCCAATCTGAATTTTCCCAGCTTAGCCAGTAAAAATGGACTCAAAATGGAATATAAGTAGGATTTATGCATAATGCATTTTCCAGTGAGATAATCATTTAAATTCCTTTTTTATGCCACAATTTTTGGGTAACTGCACATCACTGTAAAGCCTGGGACACTCTGCGTTGTAGGTTAGATGTGTGTGTGTACAGGCACTAACCTACTTTCTCCTCAAGATTCCCTAGAAGTGAGATCAATGAAGAATGAAACCAACCCAAAACTTTCCAAAACTATAACAGAGCAAGCAGGCTATTCCCTGCCGGATCCACCCACTCAAAGAAAAGGGACTCCGCAGAGTCTGTCACTAACTGTCACCCCAGCAACCTAAGTGCCAAAACTTCAGCAATGCAGACAGGGCCCTCGTAAATGCTCAATCCATGTGAAAAGACCTCATTAAACCCTGAGTTATATTTAGAAAAAAATGGAACAGAAGTTATATTTAGATGAAATGGCTTAAAAGAACTTTCCCAAAAGCAGCATGTTTATACTGATCTTTTACACTGATCTTCCAAAAGAAAAAGTTTGACTGGGCTTTTACATACACCTCCAAAAAAACTCCAGAAAACTTCTCTATACATACACAAAGATTTCTGCTTGGGTTTCTCTGTATCAGGTATCAGCAAGGCTGCCCATGGGATGCAATGGGATGCCAAGGACTTAAAAAATGGGCCCACGTTTAGAAGATAGAGGAACTGCATACAGAAATTTGAGTTGTGATGGCCTGAGAAATGTATGAATGAATAACTTGGAGCTTGAGCAGCACAACAGTAGTTCTAAAATTTATAAACAGGACTCCAAACTATTGATTTCCTCAGTGACTCTACCTGCAACTGTTCTTTTCCAAAATGTCATTAGCACTCACACTACGGTCACACTCAAAACTCCTATCACTTTGTAGCTCGCTCGCTGAACCACACTCCGCATTTTCTCTTTGGTTCTGACTCGTCAGGCTATTTTTGACATCTGCTTTCTTCTGCATTGACTTACATTTTCCTAACAAAATTCTAGTCAACAGCACCGAGGTGGTTTAGTAAACTGGTGAAGTCTTTTCATGAATGAATGTATAATTTTTGGTGACTCTTGGAAGGAGTGAAAGGTGGTTTGCGGCAGTTAGTCCTCTCTTCAGAGGCCACAGGGTCCCCCCGGGCTCCAGAGGAGAATGAATCACAGCTCAGAGGCTTGGCACACGCCCCAGGTTAAGGGGACCTCTTCTCTAAAGAGGCTCAGGAAGAGGCCACTTCCCAGCCAAGCCAGATTGGAGGGCAAAGGACATAACGCGTGGGGAGGAGACAGCCAGACTGGAGGACTGGCTGGCCCCCAGTTGTCCCAGAAGGAATTTTGCCAGTGGGCGAGGGTGCTGCAGCCCTGCTGTTCGCTAGGTCAATTAATACTCTGAAAACACTCCAGCCAAATCTCATTTTTGCCTCTGGTTTGATATTTCCAAGCAGAAGAGAACTGAGGTTGCCTGGTTTTATACCCCTTATACACCTTAGAGCAGCCAGCCTAGGCTTGTGAAACTTGGAGGTGAAACCAAAAACGACCAAGGCTGCTAAACCAGAGAACAGGTCATACATTCCAGGCACCACTCCCCTCACCCTTCAGCCACCTTCCTCCCCCTTCTTTCCTCCCAATATCCACCTAAAACATTTTACCAGGCAGGGATCCCCACAGAGGGCCACTTTGTCTGCACCTATAGTTTGCCTTCAGTGAGAATCACATTAATTTCACTAATATAATCATTCAGCAGAAAAGCATCATCTCAATCTGAGAGTTCAGACAATCAAGTGCTTAACAGTCACTGATGTCCAAAGATAGGATCAAATTAGCAGGTTCTACTGATATAAATGCAGGAAATTTCAATGAACTCTGTAACCAGGCAGGTCAAAACCCAATGACAGACACATAAGGGGCACAGAATCCAAGGAGGCATTGAACTTACTTCTGCAAAGGCAATTCATCAGGGAGGCAAGATAGAAACAGAAGAATGAGATGAGACATACCAAGTCTCTTATGAAGGGTAACAGGGAGAGGGCGAGTGTTCTTGGAGGCTGAAAAAGCAGGATGGCAACATGGGCCCAGGCAAACAACAGCTGAAGGGATGAGCAGGAAAAAGTCAAAAGCATGCAGAGGGGAAAGTTCAGCTTCCACCAAGAAGGACTCCAAAAGTCCCATGCAGGTCTGGATATAGTAATCAGGAAGCCCCAGGACCAAAAAGAAGCAGCCTTTGGGAGCTCTTAGTAAAAGAAGACGTAAAATGGTAAAAAGAAAGAGGGGTGGTAAAAGATGGTAGCAGGAAGGAGGGGACTGACACAAACAAAATCTGTCCCACTTCAGGGCTCTTGAGGAGGAGGGGACGAACAGCATAGGAAGACAGGGAGCTGTCACCATTCTGTCACCAGAAACCCACTCCTGTATTCTTGCCTGGAGAATCCCACGGACAGAGGAGCCTGTCGGGCTACAGTCCATGGCAAAGAGTCAGACACGAATGAAGCTACTTAGCATGCAGTGAGAAAGGGGAAAGAAAGAGCCAGATCCAGTCAAATAACTGGTGCTATTTGGAACACTTCTGGTGACTTTATCTGCATCAGGACATGGATCTGGATCGGTGCTGAGTCACAGAAATGCCAAACTCCTTTTCCCAGACATCTAAAGGTAAAAGGAAGAAAAGGGACTGCGGTAGTGTGACCTCACACACAATTACAGAAACCCTACTAAAACCTTCGGAACTGAATTACATCTGTGGACACCTACGAGAATCTGTGAAAACCTAAACAAAGGCTTGTTTTGCTCAACTTTTACTGACACCTTCTTTCTTTTTATATGAATGAGAAAAAGCAACAGACAGATGTCCCGTTTCAGGTCATAGTCAGGACTTATATTCGGGAGGTCCCAGGATGCTCCAAGGCAGGGCCAAGGATGCAGGGTCTTCCCTCCTTGAAAGGGGAAGCTGTGTGGCCCCACTCCGCTCTCTGTTGGTCAGAGTCCTCAGCCTCCACTTGCACGCCCCAGGGGCCTGCCGAGCGACCCCTCTGAACCTCCGCACACGTCTCCGCTCTCCACGGACCGCTGGACCATGACAGCAGGGACGGTCCATTCAGCACCAGCGTTTCCCAGGCAGCCCTTTAATTGTGATCGTCATTGAAGGGCAGCTTGAGCATAAAGTGAGTTTGTCCGGCCAGCTCTTAAGGAGCCAAACACCTCCCACCCCGAATCAAGCACGAACTGGCAGGCGCTGGGAAACTGGGCAGGAAGCAAAGAGAACCACTGTGCTGTGCGAGGCGCCCAAGCAGCTCTCGAGAGCCTGGCACGTAGTAGGTAGGCGTTCACCCAAGATCTGCCAGCGGACCTGGCACCTGGGCTGGGGGCCCTCGGGTGGGGTGGCAGCTCAGGGCACACACACACACACACACACAAAACCCGGCCAGCCCAAAGGGCTGCAGCCCTCGCGACGCGGGGGGCGGGAGTTAGAGCCTGGGAGGGGGCGTAGGAATCCGCCCTCATTTGCACGTCGTCTGGGGCCCGGTCAATTTGCTTAATCACCGCTCTAAATGCCAGCGCGCAGCACACAATGCGCGCCCATTAACAGGTTTAAAGTGTCGCAGCGCTCGCTTTAAATGAGAAAAGCCGGCAACAAAGGGGGAAAAAGCCAAGTTCCTCAACTTGAAGAATGCCTCGATTCGCCCTCGAAATCATCTCGGCGAGTTTAAAATCCCGAGCTCTACAGAAAAGTTGAGGCCCCAGCGCGAGGGATGGGGGTGGGGAGGGGGTGTGTGTATGTGTGTGTGTGAATAACCCGCCACGAATACTGGGTTTCTTAGGAACCTACTCTTAGCCGCCCAGCGAAGCTGGAGTCGCGGGGCAGCGTCGCCAACCCACCTCCCCGGCCCCACTGCCCAACTGCCAGGGAAAGCGGACCGATTTCCAGGAAGAAAGCAAGACCACCTCCCCCCTCCACGCCCCGCTCAACACACACTCCCGCCCAACCGGCACATATCCAAGTTCTTCTTTAGCGCGAGCAAAGAATTCTGGACACCAAGGAGAACGCCAGAAGTGGACCCCGAAGCGGCTCCCCAGCCAAAGGAGAGAATGTAAGGGGAATGTTCCAGGCACTCCCAGCGCAGCCTAATCCTCGACTGCCGGAGTGGTTCATCTCCGTAAGCAAGTTCTGCCCGGGATCCTCCCGGGACGGCCCCATCCCCCACCCCGTCGCCGAGCCCGGGGGCGCATCTCTCGGGCCCCGACCGCCCGCGCGCCGGGGCGCGGCGGGACGGGCACTCACCGTGCGCGCTCCTCCGGGAGACAAGGGTCCGTTGGGAAGGTACGGACTGCTCAGGTCCGGGATCATCAGGAACGGGTAGCCAGGGTAGGGGGGCCCCTTAAAGAACGCGCCGTCCTGGGGCCTTCTCACTGCCGGTAAAACCAAGGCGGGGGTGAGGCCGGGGCCCTCGGGACAGCGCCTCGGTAAGGGGTCCCGGGGCGGGGACCGGGAATCCAAGCGCCCCCCACGCGCGCCCCAGGACGGCTGAGGCCGACGGGGGCGAAGAGCAGGGGCACGGCCACCGGGGCGAGGGGGACCGAGGGCGACCCGAGCCGAGGCGCCAAGCGCAGCGGGGCCAGGAGCGGGGGACAGCCCGGACCCACACGTACCTTCGGCGAAATAGTCCCGTGGCTTCTGGAAAGCGTCCCGGGCGGGCTGCGGGCGCCTCTCCGCCTGCGAAGGAGACACAAAGGCGAGGGCGGGTGAGCGGGCGCCGGGCCGGGGTCCCGGGAGTCGGCCGCGGGGGCTTCCTCACCTCCGAGTCCGAGCTGCTGCTCTGGTTCTCCGACTCGTTGACCAGGGACGACTTGACTTCGTCCAGGTCCCGCTGCGCCGACGCGCTGTCGCTGCTCGGCTCCTGCTCCTCGCCTCCCTCATCCTGGAAGGGGATCAGCTCGTCGTTGGCCCCGAGGTCGTCCCCTGCCCCTCCCTCCCTCCCTCCCGTTCGCCGGCCTGCTCCGCTCGCCGCCCCGGCGGCTGCAGCAACAAAGTTTTGACAGGGCGTGGCCCGGAGGGAAGCGGGGCCGGCGCGACCGGACGGGGGCGGGGGCGGCTCGGCTCCGGCCCCTAGAGTAGCGCGGAGCCCGGGGCTCCCCAACTCGCTGCTGCCGCCGCCGCCTGCTCCACCGGGGCGTCCCAGCGCCTGGCCCGCCGGGGAGGGGCGAGCGGGGAAGGAAGGAGGGACCGGCGCGCGGGGCAGGGGGGCCGGAGGGAGGAGCCCCGGCTGCAAGCTGACACCCGCGCGCCTCGCGGAACGCGGAGAGCCCCGGCGCGCACACACTCGCCCTCACACTCGCACGCCGCTCGCTCACACCTTCCCAGGCTGCGCCTCCCCACAGTGAGCGCACGGCCTGGCCCCCAGACTCACCCGGACCCCTTCCCCGAGCCCCATCCCGCACCCCCGCGGGCCTGCCCCCCGGCTCTGGGCCGACCGCTCGGGTCCCGCCCCCATCCCTAGGCATCCCCTAACTTTCTTCCCGAGAACCCCCAGAACTCCGCAGCAGCTCCACACCCCCTCCCACCGGATCCGCGCTCTAGCGGGCGGCACTGCCCCCTGCGGGAAAGCTTCGGACCTGCCCGGAGCTTCGTTGCCTGGAGTCCTCGAAGCGCTGGATCCCGCCCGGTTTGATCGCTCTTGCCTGCCTGGGGCAGAGGATTAGGGAAACGTCCGGCACCCGGAATATGCCCGGCGGCCTCCCGCTCCTCTCTTTCCTGTGGGGTTCCAACGCTCCCCCCGCCCCAGTTCAGGTTTTCAACTTTGTTCAGGTGTCCAGAGTCACCCAGGCTGAAATCCCCTAAATCACCTTCGCCCCATAGTTCCAGACCGGGTGCTTAATCGAGTAACTCGCGGTGCAGGGTTCAGAAAGAATTCGGATTTGATTCATTGTGTAGGATAATGACCCAGTGACCTCTGAAGCATCCACGAGGCTGCCTTGGGAGCCAGTGATCGTGTGAAAAATGCCCAGCCGGCCGCATGCTTAAAGAAATGCCAGATGCCTCCTGTGATAACATTCAAATATCGTCTCTCCACCCAGTTCGGCAAAGTTTGAAAAAGTGAATCTTGTGCCTTCCGCAGTAGGGAACTATTGGTGAGAGCATCTGTTTTTAAAAGGCAGAATGGAATACTTAAAACAATTTTAAAGACGACTGAGAGAGGCGTTTTCTCCAGTGATGTGTACACATATGGTCAAAGTCACAGACACAAGGAAGTTCCAAGCAGCCTCTGTGTGTGTTTGTGTGTGTGTGTTTAATCGCTCAATCTTGGCCCACTCTGCGACCCCAAGGACAGTAGGTTCCTCTGTCCGTGGGATTTCCCAGACAAGAATCCTGGAGTGGGTTGCCATTTCCTACCCCAGGGTATCTTCCTGACCGAGGGATCCAACCCGCCTCTCCTGGATCTCCTGCGTTAGCAGGTGGATTCTTTACCACTGTGCCACCTGGGAAGTTGAAACCATCAGGGAGGTTTATAAAGAGTTCTGGGTCTTTATTACAGTGAAAGGCCGTGGAACAACCCACTGGGGAGAGTGAAGCAGGGAAGGATGCAGGAATGATTTGGAAGAAACACCCTTAAGTAAAAATGTGTATGGTACCCACTCTTCATTTTTGTTCTTGAAAAATGGCATACTGGCATTTGTTTATTCATAGAAAAAAGTGTGAGAAGATGCACACCAAATTATTATTATCAATAAATATTTCTGGGAAAGGGGATAAGTGAGAGGAGAGGGACAGTTTTGTTTTCTGCTTTCTACATATTTTATTATATACAGCAAGCAGATATGACTTACCTATATTTTCACACAATTAATACATAAATATAGTCTGATAAAGCTTCTTCAAACAATAGAGCTACATCTATGAGCAGTGTCTTGAGTAAAAAATAAGACTTCACTTGCTTAAAAAGTAAGACTACCGCTTCCCTGGTGGTCCAGTATTTAAGAGTCCCACTGCTAATGAGGGGGTATGGGTTTGATCCCTGTTTGGGGAAGATCTCACATGCCGAGGAGCAACGAAGCCGGTGGGCCACGCACAACTACTGAGCTGGAGTTCTAGAACCCAAGAGCCATAACTGCTGAAGCCAGTGGGCCTGGAGCCTGTGCTCTGCAACAGAGAAACCACCACAGTGAGAAGCCCACACACCTCAGCTAGAGAGTACCCTCTGCTCATTGCAACTAGAGAAAACCCTTGAGCCACAACCACTGAAGTTCACCCACCTAGAGCCTGTGCTTTGAAACAAGAAAAGCCACTCAAATAAGAAGCCCAAGCACCTCAATGAAGAGTAGGCCGCGTTCGCTGCAACTAGAGAAAAGAGTGAGCAGCAATGAAGACCCAGCACAGCCAAAACTAAATAAATAACATTAAAAAAATTTTTTTAAGTTAAAATTACTCTTTCCCTCCTTCCCACACCTCCCTGCAGTTAATCATTGTTACTAGTTTGGTATATATTCTCCTAGATAGTTTCTTAAGCAGTTATGTACACATGCAAACCCATATACAAACATACTGTATATGTTTACTCTCATGGAAATAGAATTATGCGGTTCATATTACTGCATGACATTTCATTTTTACAAGCTTTTAAAAGTCAGAAGGTTTTTCATGTGGTCCAGAAATATGTGAAAAATCCATTGCATCAGTTTCTCATGGTTGCTATAGCAAGTCATTGCAAACTTGGTGGCTTAAAACACCAGAAATGTATTTTCTCATTGTTCTCCAGGCCAGAAGTCCAAAATGAGTTGCACTAAATCAAAATCATGGTGTTGGCAGGATCACATTCCCTCTGAAGTTCCAGGAACAAGGTACACCTTCCCTCTTCCAACTTCTGGTTGCTGCTGGCGCTCTTGCCATCTCATCACTCTAGTTTCTGCCTCTTTGGTCACGTTGCCTTCTCATTTGTCATTGTCAAATCTCATTCTCTGCTTCCTTCTTATGAGAAAGGACACTGTGATGTCATTTAGGGCCCACCCAGATCATCTTGATTAATCTCCCCATCAAGATCCTTAACTTAAAAAAAAACCCTTAACTTGTGGGAGGGGGGATCGGGATGGGGAATACATGTAACTCCATGGCTGATTCATGTCAATGTATGACAAAACCCACTGCAATGTTGTGAAGTAATTAGCCTCCAACTAATAAAAATAAATGGAATAAAAAAACAACAAACCTTTAACTTAATCATACCTGCAAAGACCCCATTTCCTTATAAGGTCACATTCACAGGTTACAGAGATTAGTACCTAGACATATCTTTGGGAGTGAGCCATCGTCAACCTACCACACCCATCAACCTCGAAGAAATGCAAATTGAGACAGCAGAGAGAGACCATTTATCATCTATCAGTTGGCAAAGGTAGAAAAGAAGAACAACATCCAGCTTTGGCCCCAGTTCTGATAAACATACAGCTGCTGGGCATGCCCTTGTGTAATATTTCTGAAGAGAAGTGTGGCAATACCTGTGAAAAAAGTCTTTAAAAGTGTAAACCCTTTGACTCAACTCTGTGTTTTCTAGGATTTTATACTTAGGAAATAACCAGGTACATGAGGAAACCCGTAGAACTGTCATTATCACAGTGAACAGCTAGAAACAACCCCGAGGTCCCCAAATAGGGAAATGTTAAATAAAATCCTCTTAACCTGATTTTTATTTCTTATTTAACATGATGTGGAGGCTGGTAGGTCTTCCTGGGATTGACAATTGAACTGTATGTGGAAGAGGAAGATAAGAATGAGGGTCATCTCACAAAAAACAAACTTGTGGTTCCCAAAGAGGAAGAGGGGAGGGATAAATTAGGAGTTTGGGATTAAGAGGTACACACCACTGTATGTAAGATAGACAAACAGGGACTTCCCTGGTGATCCACTAGTAAAGAATCTGCCTGCCAATGCAGGGGACATGGGTTCAATCCCTGGTCCTGGAAGATCCCACATACCGAGGGGCCACTAAGCCCGTATGCCGCCACTACTGAGCCTGTGCTCTAGAGCCCATGCTTTATGACAGGAAAAGCTACCGCAATAAGAGGCCTGTGCACCACAACTAGAGAGTAGCCCCCACTATTGGAGGGACAGACAACTAGAGGGTAGCCCCCACCGCAACTAGAGAAGGCTCGCGAGCAAAAACGAAGATCCAGCACAGCCAAAAATGATTAAAACTGAATAAATAAATATAAGAAAACCAGGAGGGACTTTGGGGTTATAGGTGAAGAAGGAAGATCTTTTATTAAGTAATTTTTTCTTTATTTTTAAAATTGATTTATTTTTAATTGGAGGATAATTGCTTTACAATATTGTGCTGGTTTCTGCCAAACATCAACATGAGTCAGCCATAGGTATTCATCTGTCCCCTCCCTCTTGAACCTCCCTCCCACCTCCCACCCCTCTAGGTTGCCACAGGGCAATGGTTTGAGCTCCCTTTGTTTAACGACATGTCAAACATACGTACACAAAACTGCAAAACAGTTTAAGTGCACAGTTGAATGAATTCTCACCAATGGAACATGTCGGTGTCCACCAAGATGCAGATTAACAACAGACTTCATGCTCTTCTCATCTTTAGTTAGTTAGTTAGTTAGTTCCGTCACTCAGTTGTGTCCGACTCTTTGCGACCCCATGAATCGCAGCACGCCAGGCCTCCCTGTCCATCACAAACTCCTCATCTTTACCTTTCCCCAAAAGTAGTCCATATCCTGACGCTTATCATGAGAGATTAGTTTTGCCTGTTTTTGAGCTACATATAAGTGGAATCATACAGTATTTTTCATCCTCTTTTGGGTAATATTATTTCTAGGTGAGTGATCACACCATCATGATTATCTGGGTCATGAAGATTTTTTTAGATAGTTCTGTGTATTCTTTTTTTTTTTTTAGTTCTGTGTATTCTTGTCACCTCTTCTTAATATCTTCTATTTCTGTTAGGTCCATGCCATTTCTGTCCTTTATTGTACCCATCTTTGCATGAAATGTTCCCTTGGTCTCTCTAATTTTCTTGAAGAGATCTCTAGTCTTTCCCATTCTATTGTTTTCCTCTATTCCTTTGCACTGATCACTGAGGAAGCCTTTCTTATCTTTCCTTGCTCTTCTTTGGAACTCTGCATTCAAATGGGTGTATCTTTCCTTTTCTCCTTTGCCTTTCACTTCTCTTCTTTTCTCAGCTATTTGTAAGTCCTCCTCAGACAACCATTTTGCCTCTTTGAATTCTTTTTTTCTTAAGAATGGTCTTGATCAGTGCCTCCTATACAGTGTCATGAACTTCTGTCCATAGTTCTTCAGGCACTCTGTCTGTCAGATCTAATCCCTTGAGTCTATTTGTCACTTCTACTGTACAATTGTAAGGGATTTTATTTTGGTCATACCTGAATGGTCTAGTGGTTTTCCCCACTTTCTTCAATTTAAATCTGAATTTGGCAAGAAGGAGTTCATGATCTGAGCCACAGTCAGCTCCTGATCTTATTTTTGCTGGCTGTATAGAGCTCCATTTTTGGCTGCAAAGAACATAATCAATCTAATTTCAGTATTGACCATCTGGTGATGTCCATGTTTGAGTAGTTTCACATTTTTTGGCCAATACAAATGATGTTGCTAGGAAGATTGTTTTCTATGTTATTGGATATTCACTTCTCTTGAGTCCTAGAAGTTTAATGACTGGGTTATGGAATATGCATTTGTTCCACTTTATTAGATATTGCAGTGAGTTTTACAAAATGATCATATATCAATTTACAATCCCACTAATAGTATACAATAGTTCTATCATTCTACATTCTCTTCCATATCTGGTACTGTCAATATATATTTTATTAGCTTTAGCCATTCTGGTGGGTGCATATTAGAAACTTATGGTTTTAATTCATATTTCCCCAATGACTAATCTTGTTGACTACTTTTTCACATGCTTCTTAGCTATTTGGATATTTTCTTTTATGAAGTACTTGTTCAAGTCTTTTATCTATTTTTCTCTTGAATTGTTTAATTTTTTTCTTATGGATTATTTGTATGAGTTCTTTGTATATTCTTGGAGAAGGAAATGACAACCCATTCCAGTATTCTTGCCTGGGAAATCCCATGGACAGAGGAACCTGGCTGACCTCAGTCCATGGGGTCACACAGAGTCAAACATGACTGAGCGACTAACACTTTCTTTCTTTTTGTATATTCTGGATATGAGGATCTTGTCAGACATATCTAATACAAATATTTTCTTCAGGTTTGTGGCTTGCCATTTTACTTTACAAATGATGTCACATGAATAAAAATCTTAATTTTAATGTAGTCTACTTTATCATTCTTTCTCTTTATTGTTAGTGCTTTGGATCCTATTTAAGAAATCTTTGCTCACATCAAAATCATAAAAATATTATCTATTATGTCCTAGAAACTTTGTTGTTTTACTTTAAGTTTAGATCTACAATCCATCTGAAATACATCTTTGTGTACGGCTGGAATGAGAAGTCAAGGTCCTCCCCTCCATATGTATGGTTTCCAGGGCCATCCTTTCCCCTTCCATTGCCATCCTTTCCCCTTCCATTGCCATGGCGCCTTTATCATAAATCTTAAGTGTAAATGTGGTTCTGTCTTTAGACTTTTTCCTTAGTTCATCTGCCTAAATTAGCACCAATGACAGATTATAGATATGTAATAAGTCTTGAAATCTGTCAGTATAAGTCCTTTGACTGTTCTTCAAGATCATAAATGTTATTTTTGGGATTTTACAGGCCATGTTGGTTTTTTGTTTTGTTTTGGCCATACAGCACAGCATTCAGAATCTTAGTTCTCAGACCAGGGATCAAACCCCTGCCCCCTGCAGTGGGAGAGCAGAATCTTAACCACTGGACTGCCAGGGAAGTCCCACCATATTGTTTCAAAACGTAGGTTTTTTTATTATTGATGTACCCTAGAGAAGGGCATGGCAGCCCACTCAAGTATTCTCGACTGGAGAATTCCATGAACAGAGGAACCTGGCGACCTACAGTCCAGGGGGTTGCAAAGAGTCAGACAGGACTGACGGACTTTCACTTCACACAGTGAGACCAACAGACCAGGAGATGATTTTCTTTCAAAAGACAGTTTGTTACTCACAGTTCCAAGGGGGCGGGGCAGGCAAGGCCATGCAGTGCCACATGAAGAAGCACCAGGGTTGATTAGGAGGCAGAAGGAACAAGGAGAAAGCACGGGCAGGAAGACTTATTGTGGTTTTACATGGGAAAAAATGGCTGAGACAGGGTAAGCAAGCTAAGCAGGTTTGGGATTGGCTTGTTTGAATAAGTTCAGCAAGCTCTGGAATATATAATCTGTCTTGAGCTATCTGGTTCCTGGCTCTGGGATGATTAAAGGCAAAGAATTACTGTCTAGAGTTTAAGAGCACAGTGAAAGTCACTCAGTCATGTCCAGCTCTTTGCGACCCCATAAACTGTAGCCTGTCAGGCTCCTCTGTCCATGGAGTTTTCCAGTCCAGAATACTAGAGTGGGTAGCCATTCCCTTCTCTGGGGCCCAGTGAGAACCTAGTAAAGATGGTAGTTGGGGAAGGGAGAGGGGGCTTTGGGTTGGTTGATTTGCATGTGAAAGGCTCCTCCACAGGATGGTCATTTGCTACCTCTAGAAATTAGCTTGCCTTGGGAGGGGCAGTCTCTCCTTGGGGATCAGCAAGGCCCCCAAGATATGAAAGCATCATAAAATTCAGAAAATAAAAAACATGATTAGTATACATGTAAATTTGAGAGTCAGCATGTTAAGTTCTACAAAAAACTTCTGGAATTTTTTATTAGCTTTGTATACTGAATCTATAGATCAATTTGAAAAGATTTA